GCCCTATATCAGTTGTTCTGTGTATTTTTTGCTGTCATTGTGAACATCTTCTGGTCTGCCCATAGTAAGGCAGCCCGAATTCGAACGGGATATGTTAGTGAGTGTCTCTGACGAATGGGAAATTCCATTTCTGAAATTGTGAGAACTATTGACATCTCTCGGTAAATAGTGTCATGTGTGTATATAATGAAATGTGTTAACGCCCATCGTGGGCAGTGCGGTGTCTCGAGCACGTGTCCTTATTGTAGTGACAGAGACGTGGCTCTAGAGAAGGATGCTGAGAATACCATGGACTTAGAATCAGAAACAGAAAGTTGAAATATCTTAACCACATAAGGGAAAAGGGGTTAAATTGATTGATTCGTACTTTACGGCTTATCAACCCTTTGCAGGTTATTTAAAGCCAAGCAATATGTTTAGAGTGTATGATATTTTTTTAGATAATAATGATTTAGAAATAAACGTCTTACTAATTAACCCATAGCTGGGGAGGAGATGAGGTTGATTCATACGCAACGAACCCAACGGACGCGTTTTTCATTTTCACATTTCCGAGCCATCTTTCATTAAACCACCCGCACATCCAAGCTGGTATTCACAAGCCGTCACCCATCTCGTTACTGACCAGGCTCGACGTTTGCTTAACTTCGGTGATCGTATGAGAATCGGTGTTTCAACTTGATATGGCCGTAAGCACATTACATCACACGCATATCAAAGCTAGTAGCAACTGGTATTTGCAAGCGGTCACCCATCCACTTACTGACCAGACTCGGCGTGCTTAACTTCGGTGATCGTATGAGAATCGCTGTTTCAACTTGATATGTTCGTAAGCGGATTACGTCAGCGTAACATCTAAGCTTACAGCACCTGGTATTTTCAAGCGGTCACCCATCCACTTACTGACCAGACTCGGTGTTGCTTAACTTCGGTGATCGTATGAGAATCGCTGTTTCAACTTGATATGGCTGTAAGCGGATTATATCAGCCTAACATCTAAGCTTACAGCACCTGGTATTTTCAAGCGGTCACCCATCCAGTTACTGACCAGACTCGGCGTTGCTTAACTCTGTCAATAATACGGGAACCGATATTTCAGCGTGATGTGGCCATAAGCCAAGAGGACCTATTGAAGGCAAAAGGGACACAGGGAAACGTCAATTAACTAACTTGATGCGTTTGTGTAAATGGATGGCAGCTCAAGGGTTAGTAGCGATGGTGAAAAGAGAAATGTTACTTAGAAAGGATAAGAAGTTGTGGAGAGCCATGATCGCCCTCGTCCTGAAGAGACACGCCCCATAAACACAAGATGTAGGTTGTTTTCCACATAGCAGTCACCAGCTGATCGCTACCGTAACAGAGCAAGTGTCTTTGTCTGAAATACCCAGAAGACACCATGTGAAAATAATGCTTGGTATTTCTATCGCTTGGGAAAATAAAAAAAATAAAAAAATTCAAACGTGGATTTCCGTTTATTCTGAAAATAACCTTTTGGTTCATCGTCATCTTTATGAGTCATTTACTGAGACTTTTTTATTCTCCCCTCAAATAAACTCTTTCGGAAAAAAAAAATAATTAAATTGGAAAAAAAAACAAACTTATTGAACATCTCTTTTTATTAAAGTTGTTTTCCTATGATACCTTTTAAAGTTGCTTCGTGGTTATAGGGATTTTCTAACCTTAAATGTATATCTCAATTTTTGAAGATCAAAGATGTCTGAAAAGCAACAAACCAGGAGAGAGTTTCACAAGCGAGAACAGCGAGAGAAGAAACTGTTTGCATAGAACTTGCGGCTAAATCTATCCATTTCTACTGTAAAATGAGAAGACCTTGCCACCAGTTTAGTACTCTTCCTAAACTGTGGAAGTTTATGTCAGCCATCTGAAAAAGAAAATTATATTATGTACAGTTTGACAAGACTTTCCGACCATCCTGGACTTCGTCATTGTTTAGGTAGTGATTTTCTAAGGGCAGCTTAGATGCAGCACAAGGTATGGGGCACCCAGTGAGGATCGAACTCACTACTCAGTCGCAATTGATCTAGCAAGAGAAGCTTTCTAATCATTGCCCCACATCGAGGTGCCCGTAATCATTGTTTAGTTATGTGGTTTGGTTAGTTTTTGTTTTGTTTTATGGCATATCAACACCTCAATGGGTTATTTAATGCCGACAAGATTTTTTTTATTGCTGGTAATATCTATCTATCTATCTATCTATCTATCTATCTATCTATCACAGTCATATTTATATTTATCTATCTCAGTATATATTTGTTTTGTTTTACGGCATATCAACAACTCAATGGGTTCTTTAATGCTGACAAAATTTTTATTGCTGGTAATATTTTTTATCTATCTATCTACCTATCTATCTATCTATCTCAGTTTATTTATATTTATCTATCTTTATTGCCATATTCACAACATTTCGATCGTTGTACGATCATGTCTTCTTCAGGATACTTCTATAATTCTAAGATAAGGCATTTTAACTATTTACACTGTTTACATTGTTCGGACTGTTGTCCCCATCTTTATTGCCATATTCACAACGTTTCGACTGTTGTACGATCCTGTCTTCTTAAGGATCTTTCTATAATTCTAAGATGAGTTATTGTAACTATTGACACTGTTTACATTGTCGGGCTATTGTCCTCATCTTTATTGTCAAGTTCACAACGTTACGACCGTTGTACGATCCTGTCTTCTTCAGCATCTGTCTATAATTCTAAGAGGAGGTATTGCAACTATTTACATTGTTCGGGCTGTTGCACTCATCTTTGACGCCATATTCACGACGTTTGGGGTGTTGTACGCTTCGACCTTCTTCTTCTGGTGATATACGTTGGAATTTCCTGCAAGTGGCGACACGGAACGCAACAATTTACTATATATATATATATATATATATATATATATATATATATATATATATATATAACCTATAAATTTCAATTGGCGCCGATCTAAATCATCAGCTACAGACATCTTCAGCGGGACAGATTACATCAATTTCAATAAATCGTTCACGGACTTCGTTGCTTTTTTTTTTTTTTTTGATATTTGATAACGCCAGACGAGGTCAGTGTGTCCAGATTCAAATAAAACGGCATGAGAATTGAATTTTTCTTTGAAAGTGCCGGCCATAGATTGAATACAATAGATAATTTGTCTATCTCATAGAAATGGCAGTCATATCTCCTTTAAAGCAAAAATGGTGGCAATCTTCCAATAGAATGTTTTCTTGCTTAGATACAGTCTCCGAAATGGATTGCTTCGGATATATGTCTATATTTCTGAGATGAGGTGTTGTAATTATTTAAATTATTTACATTCTCGTCATTTCAAATGCAAAATGATAAGACCTTGCCAACAATCTAGTACTGCGTTTAAATTCATAGTGTGTCGTTACAAACATTATGCCTCGTTTATTTGAACCAGTACACTAATCTGTCTATATTTCTGAGATGAGGTATTATGTACACTATTTACATTTACAACATGTCGGCCCTGCAGTATCTGTCTATATTTCTGAGATGAGGTATTATGTACACTATTTACATTATTCGGACTATTGTCCTCATTTTTTTCGTCATATTTATTACAACATTTCGGCTTTTAACTATCTGTCTATATTTCTGAGATAAGGTATTATGTACACTATTTATATTATTCGAACTATTGTCCTCATCTTTGTTGCCATATTTATCACAAAGTTTCGGCCCTTCAGCATCTGTCTATATTTCTGAGATGAGGTATTATGTACACTATTTACATTATTCGGATTTTTGTCCTCATCTTTGTCGCCATATTTATTACAACGTTTCGGCTGTTGTACGCTCCGGCCTTCTTCAGGTGGTTGGAATGTCGAACTGAACACTTTATTTCGCTTGCTGAACAAGGACACATGACACAGTGGATAAGGGCGTTAGTTAGTTCCAATGAAATGACCCAAAGTGTGTGAGTTCAATACCTGGTTAAGGCGGTGGAGAACATGGAGAGGGGAATTAACAGGAGATAACTGATAACTGATATCCATTAGACATGGCACGTGGAACTAGAACAGTCTACTCCAGTGATCGAAATAAAGGGTTCAGTTCGACATTTCAACCACCTGAAGAAGGCTGGAGCGTGCACCGGTCGAAACGTTGTAATAACTATGGCGACAAAGATGAGGACACAGTCCAAAACTATACCTCATTCAGAAATAAAGACAGATACTGAAAGGCCGAAACGTTGTAACAAATATAACAAGCAAATATGGACAATAGTCCGAATAATGTAAATAGTGTACATAATACCTCATCTCAGAAATATAGACAGATACCGAAAGGCCGAAACGTTTGGTGACAAAGATGATAGTCCGAATAATGTAAATAGTGTACATATTTCAGGACAGATAATGAAAGGGAATAAATATGGCGATAAAGATGAGGGACAATAGTCCTCACAATGTAAATACAGTACGCTAATATCTTTTTAATCATTTCAAGCAAGGCAATAAAGCCACTAAAATGCCAGGAGTTACTCAGTGTGAGAGATATGGGAAAAAGAAAAAATTATTAACTCTAGAACACTAACCATGGGTATATAGTACCCAGCGTTAATTTTCCTATTTCTAATTACAATTTTCAGTACCTGATTTTCTTACCTAAATAATGTTTTTCAGTTCCTATTAATGTTAACTCAAAGTACAAAGTTTGAAGTGCCTACATGTGAAATATTTCAAATAAAGATTTATATTTAATATTTTTTTTGATATTTTCAAACTCGGGTATAATATACCCATGGTTAGTAGTCGTGTAACTTTAATTGATGGTTAGTGTTCAGAAAAAAAAAAACAGGGTCTAAGAAGGCAGAAGATAATGATTTATATTGCATTTAAATTTTTGAAAATCAAAGTTGACTGGGAAGCAAGAAGCCGGAAGGGAGTTCCACAAACGAGAAAGGCGAGTGAAGGAACTGCTAGCATAGAACTTGCGGTTACATATCGCAATTTCTATGGTGAATTGGTGTTCTAAAACATTATATTATTATATCTAGTTTTCAAGACCGTCTCTTTTTCCTCTTTGAATCATTTCACACAAAGGAAGGGAATAAAGCCACTAAGACGCAAGGGAGGTTAATATGAGGGAATATGAAAAAAAGAAAAACAGGGAACTTAGCTTCTTAGCAGTAGACCTGGCAACTGATTCACTATAATCACTCGACTTCATATCAGCGGAAGACTCGGGCCCAATAAGGTGCAATACGTCGCTTTACTGGAGTTAGAATCAGCCATGCTGATGGAAGGTATAAAAAGTTATCTATGGTGATAGCAGTTTCATTTTGGAGGCGTTAAAATTTACAAGCCATCGCTTTCCCCAGTGTACCACAATTTGGATATCGTTTCTGAGAAGTTCGAGAGAAGAAACTGTTAACATAGAACTTGCGGTTACATCTAGCCAACTCAAGTTTAAATTGATGACACCTTGCTGCCAATCTAGTACTGCGCTTACTGAACTGTGTCAGTCAGTTATGTGTCATGTGTGATACACGCTTAGGCGATCACGTATCTTTTCGATACATGACTGGCGAGGCAGAATTTTTTCGCGCAGTATGTAGACCAGTTGCTCTTCAAGCTATAGAACCCATATCTGGAGGGAGAAGAAGAGGATTCATACATTTCCCAAGGGAATTAGCACCTAAGAGAATGTAATGGATTCGACTGGAATTCGAACTCGGCTCTCCGATTCCTCAATCCGAGCCGATATCTATTACTCCACCTGTACTGAACTGTATGGGAAGCAATTTATAATGAGAAACAAATAATTTATTGTCACTAATTTTTAGGAGATTAGATTCAAGCCCTCTTTTTCGGGAGACACGGTGGAACAATAGATACTGGCTCGGTTTGAGAAATCGGAGAGCCGAGTTCGAATCCCAGTCGGATTAATTACATTCACTCACGTGCTAATATCCTTGGAAAAGGTGTGAATCCTTTTCTTCATCTACCCCAAGCAGGAGATACTTTAGACTTGGGTGGCAACCGGTCTAGGAGAGAGAAAGTCTGAATTTAAAAAAAAAAAAACGGTCTAGATGGGGTTGTACTCCGTTAGGCTATCTATCCCAAGACGTACCACTTCTACTGCGGTGCGTGCGATGTCCCGTCGAAGTTGATGGGTCACGTGATTCTAGATCTCTTTTATTTTTTTTTTTTAATAGAAATTTAATATATTAAATAATTGCTAGTATTTTTTATATTATTAACCAGTTTTGTTTTGTTTTTTTTTACAAATTTAGTATGGAGGATAAAAATGTTGCAACTAGAATAGACTCTATCAGTGGCACTTTTACCCAACAAGGCAAATTGAGTGAATTCCTTTAAAAAGAAGCGGCCATATTTCCGTTATACAACTATAAATTTAGCTGTCTCCTCATGTTTCTATTTGTCAGTGTAAGAATTGGTTTACTTGTCTTCTTTAATCAGCCAATTCGAACGTAATAACCATTTCGTGGGAACAAATCGAAAACTGGGTGAGAATTTCGTCAGAGGAAATTGACTCATTTTTTTTTTATCGTTTGTTTTTAATCTCATACAAATCTCGTCGGAATTAAAGTTATTTTTGACTTTTCTGACCCAACTGGTATGATAAACGGCATATTCTTCTTCTTCTTCTTCTTCGCTTTCTTCTTCTTCTTCCTTTCATCATATTTTTATCATTCTACCTTTCTTTTTATTCTTCTTCGATTTCTTTTCTTTTTCTTTCTCATTTCTTCTTCCTCTCTTTCTTCTTCTTCTTCTTCTTCTTCTTCTTTTACTACTACTCTTTCTTCTCTTTTTTCATTTTCTTCTTTTCATCTTCTTTTAATCCTTCTACCTTTCCTTTTCTTCTTCTTCGTTTTATCTTCTTTTCTTCTTCTTTCTCATTTCTTCGATATTTTCTTCTTCCTCTCGTTCTCTTTCTTCTTCTTCTTCCTCTTCTTATTTCTCATTTCTTTTCTTCTTATATATATATATATATATATATATAGAGAGAGAGAGAGAGAGATATACATATTTATATATAGAGAGATATATAGATATACCATATATTATGAAATTGACTAAGACCGACAATTAATATATAACACGCACACACACACACATATATATATATATGTATATATATATATATATAATGTGGATGACGTTATATATATATATATATATATATATATATATTTCAGTATATACCTATCTTTCTATCGCAGTGTATTCCTATCTACCTATCTATTTGTCTCGACTTTTCAACGCCAGCATCTATGTATTTCAGACGTCTCATATCTATCTATCTATCTATCTATCTATCTATCTATCTATCTATCTATCTATTCATTTTCCTTTCATATCTATCTATCTATCTATCTATCTATCTATCTATCTATCTATCTATCCATTTTCCTTTCATATCTATCTATCTATCTATCTATCTATCTATCTATCTATCTATCTATCTATTCATTTTCCTTTCATATCTA